TGGAGTTCAGGGAGGGCTTGAAAGTTTTTTGTTATTAACTTTTCAATATGTTTATCTTTTTTGGAGAGGGATATGGGAATTGCCTTTCTTTTTGTCTGTTTTCTTTTTCCCTTATGAAGATTAGAAATGCGCTGACAACTCTGGTTTTGCAAAGCCCAAAAGTATGTACACGAAATGAATTACAATACGTTAACATGTTACATAAAAAGGTGAGAGTGACAAGCCTTTAACAGGTGTTGTCATTAATCTCATTTAGTTAGCCATTAAAGCTAAAAAGATGTTAAGTTTCACAGTCTGCCGAAAAAAAGATTAATCTTGGCCTGCTATATACCCAGTCTGCCTATTTAATGAAATGCATGCTATACAGTTGATTTAAGTCTCATTTATAATGACTTAGTAAATGTCACTAAATTTAGAAATGCAAGCTAAATACCAGCAAATTTAAATCAATAAATTCATCCACTTAAAATTAAAAAAGAAAAATAATTTAATCAAATACAATCTCTTCATCTTGTATTTCTTGAGATGCACAGCAATCTTTAGGAGCTAACTTACTCTCCTAAAGAGGAAATAATGCCCATTGTACTAGCTGTACCTTGATTCCTCCTATAAAGGACCTGTGTTTCACATTCCTGTACATGGGTACATCTCAGCACTAGAAAATCACCTGCAGGATCAGCCTGTATGTTGTTCCTTATCTGTAAATTACATACAAAAACATTATGTATCAATATATGCTATTATTTTTTGTATCATAATCACAAGTGCTGCCACTCTTCCAGCAGGGTAGGAAACAGCCCCCTGGCAGAGACAGCGACACCAAACTAGCAAACGAAACAGTGAAGAAAAACAAGAGCAGAAACATGTTTCCATGGAATCTATGCGTGGCCCACAAAAAAACTACACTTCTTTGTGAAGCACGGATGTATTAGGAAGATATTAAGATCTCGATAGGAACAATTAAGGATAAGTCAGATCTTGCATATCCTACGATCTTCAGCATTCCTCATGCTACTTACTAAACTGCTCACCTCCAGCCACTACTTTTGTTCTGCTATTTAAGTAGGTATGTTGGTACTTCATTTCATGTCATGATGCTATAAATATTTCCCAAGAAATACAAACCAAAACTATTCCATTTCTCGCAATGAAATTAATGTAATTTCAGTCATTACATGAGCCAGCATCAATGGCTTCCATGACTGGAAATCGATGGATCATTTTATGTTGTAGCTTACGCAACTGCACACAGAATTACTCAACTCAATTCTTTGATATATACTGTTCAGCAAGTAAAACCCAGATCTTATGCAGAAAATAATGCTTCATTTCACTTTCACACTTTTGTTCATTGAAATAGATCTTGAAATTAGATGTGGAATTTTAGACTTTTCAGTTTCACACAGCTATTCACAAATTTTAATAGGTATACCTGAACAGATAGCTATAGTTTTATCTTCAAACACTGCTGTTCTTATAAAGTAGCAGCATATTTTTGTGACGTTGGCTGGACTTCTTTCAAAACACTCAGCCAGGTGTAACCATTTTTTAGCTTAATTTTTTGATTTAGAAATTAATACAAGGGGTTAAATCAGACCAACGTGCACTTATTTTCTAAATATTCTGAAAGTCAGCCATGCAAAACTCTCCTTCTGAAAAGTCAGTAAGATAACCAGATAGATAAGACAGATGCGATACAAATAGGAAAAGAAAGGACAGGAACATGTGAAGAAATTAAGAAACTAAATGTTTACTTTTATAAAATATTTGACACATTTTAAATGTACAATATGAGTAAGAGATTCATATTGTACCTTCCCCCTTCTACCCCCCTACCCATGCACACCTGTGGTTCCCAAACATGCCTTCTTCCACTGTGCACCCTGATTCTCTGGATGTCCTTTACACAGGTTCCTCTGACATAAGCTCTACACTGGAGATGGCAGTGAAACTGCAGTTCTATTTAATGTTTTGTTGCTAAGTTTTTTGTTTTGGTGTGTTTTTTGCAGACATCAGCTCCAGCCTGCCTGGGCTTGTTAGCTGAAACATGGCTAAACTGCCTCCAGGTACAACTCAAGTCTGAAAGCATCTCAGCTACTTTCAACCCGAGCTCACAAACTCTCACAGGTGAAGCTGCTTGTGATGCTCAGCTTTGACTCTCCACACCGTATTCCCAATACTGGCTGCGTTTAAAGAACAGTGAGGAGAGATCAGAGCACAGTTTGCTCTGAGCTGGCCTCCAAGACAAGGCTGACCCCACAAGCAGCCCCCGGTGATGTGTGGGCCGCCCCACTGCACTCCCTGTTTGGGCTCTCTGAGGACTCCTGCCTCGCACAAATGCCCGGACTGCCACCTCCCACACAGTCCCCAGCACCGGGGGACCCACTGCAGGCACATGCAGCCAGCTACAAATTTGTTTGCCGCAAAGTGCAAAATGACCCATTTCATGCTCATTTCTCTTCCTCCAGTTCTCGGCACTTGGTTCCCCATCCGTGTACCCCGCGCTCGCCCTTTCCCGGCCCGGCCCACGCTCTGCAGTGGGCACCATACACTCTCCCGGGGAAGTCCGCGGGGCGGGG